CACTGGGAAGACCTATGTGGTGTTTAATGCCACTACCCATCTCCAGGAGAGCACTGGGAGGACCTTCGGGGCATTTAATGCCACCACCCACCCCCAGGAGAAACCAGAAAGACCCTGGGTGGCACTGGGAAGACCTTGGGGGGGTTGTAATGCCACCACTTGTCCCCAGGAGGGTACTGGGAGGGCTCCAGGAGGGACTGGAAGGACCCCAGGAGACCACTGGGAAGACTTATGTGGTGTTTAATGTCACTACCCATCTCCAGGAGAGCACCAGGAGGACCTTCGGGGCATTTAATGCCACCACCCACCCCCAGGAGAAACCAGAAAGACCCTGGGTGGCACTGGGAAGACCTTGGCGGGGGTGTAATGCCACCACTTGTCCCCAGGAGGGTACTGGGAGGGCTCCAGGAGGGACTGGAAGGACCCCAGGAGACCACTGGGAAGACTTATGTGGTGTTTAATGTCACTACCCATCTCCAGGAGAGCACCGGGAGGACCTTCGGGGCATTTAATGTCACCACCCACCCCCAGTGTGACCAGGAAGGAACTAGGTGGACCCGGAGGGGCACTGGGAGGACCCAAGGGACATTCAATGCCACCACCCACCCCCAGGAGAAACCAGAAAGACCCTGGGTGGCACTGGGAAGACCTTGGGGGGGTTGTAATGCCACCACTTGTCCCCAGGAGGGTACTGGGAGGACCCAAGGGACATTTAATCACAGAATCACAGAATCTTCTAGGTTGGAAGGGACCTTAAAGATCATCTTGTCCAACCGTCAACCTGACTGACAGAAATAGACACCCACACAACAAACAAGGAGCATCATCACTAATGCCACCACCCCTCCCCAGGAGAAACCAGAAAGACCCTGGGTGGCACTGGGAAGACCTTGGGGGGGTTGTAATGCCACCACTTGTCCCCAGGAGGGTACTGGGAGGACCCTGGGTGGCATCAGGAGGACCCGAGGCAGCACAGTGCCACCAGGGAGGGGACAACCGTGACGCCCCCGCATCTCACCGATCTTCATCTTCTTGAGGGTGGCGTCGGGCTCGTCGCGGGGCCGTTTGCGGGTGTCGCGGGGGCTGGGCATGCTGCGGGCGATCTCGGCCTGCTGGGTGCCCAGGTCGACCAGCAGGGTGGTGATCTGGGGCTGGAAGTCCCCCGAGGAGGGGTGCCGCAGGACGCTCAGGAGGTGCAGCTTCAGGTTCTTCCGGACGCTGCTCACCTGCGACTTGGCCAGGGTGGGGGGCAGGTTGGCTGTGAGAGAGGGGACACACACACCCCCCGTGTTAGGGACACATGGGGACATGGGACAGGATGGTTTGGGTGGGATCAGCTCTGCTGTCCCCAAGAGGGTGGGGGTGAGCTTGGATCCTTGGGCAAGATGGAAGGTGGGAGCTCAGAAACTGGGGACGTTTGGGTCTCCAGCCTCCCGTGGTGGGACCTTGGGGACCCAGGACTCCCATGCGGGGAGACCCTGGGCTGAGAACGTTTGGGTCCCCAGCCTCCTGTGGGGGGCACCCTGGGAGGAGGACATTAGGGTCCCCAGCCTCCCGTGGTGGGACCCTTGGGTCCCCAGCCTCCCATGGGGGGCACCCTGGGCTGAGGACATTTGGGTCCCCAGCCTCCCGTGGGGGAACCCCTGGGCTGAGGACATTTGGGGACCTTGGGGACCCAGGACTCCCCATGGGGGGGACCCTGGGCCAAGGACATTTGGGTCTCCAGCCTCTCATGGGGGGACCTTGGGGACCCAGGACTCCCCAGGGGGGGACCCTGGACTGAGGACATTTGGGACCCCAGCCTCCCGTGGTGGGCCCCAGCCTCCTGTGGGGGGACCCTGGGGACCCAGGACTCCCATGGGGGGCACCCTGGGCTGAGAACATTTGGGTCCCCAGCCTCCCGTGGGGGAAACCCTGGGCTGAGGACATTTGGGTCCCCAGCTTCCCATGGGGGGCACCCCTGGGAGGAGGACATTTGGGTCTCCAGCCTCCCATGGGGGGCACCCCTGGGAGGAGGACATTTGGGACCCCAGCCTCCCGTGGTGGGACCTTGGGGACCCATCATGGGGGGACCTTGGGGACCCAGGACTCCCCATGGGGGGGACCCTGGGCCAAGGACATTTGGGTCTCCAGCCTCTCATGGGGGGACCTTGGGGACCCAGGACTCCCCATGGGGGGGACCCTGGGCCAAGGACATTTGGGTCTCCAGCCTCTCATGGGGGGACCTTGGGGACCCAGGACTCCCCATGGGGGGGACCCTGGGCCAAGGACATTTGGGTCTCCAGCCTCTCATGGGGGGACCTTGGGGACCCAGGACTCCCCATGGGGGGGACCCTGGGCCAAGGACATTTGGGTCTCCAGCCTCTCATGGGGGGACCTTGGGGACCCAGGACTCCCCATGGGGGGGACCCTGGGCCAAGGACATTTGGGTCTCCAGCCTCTCATGGGGGGACCTTGGGGACCCAGGACTCCCCAGGGGAACGGGTGAGCCCAGGAGCTCCCCACCCTACGAGCGCTGAAGGGGGGACCTTGGGGCACCAGGGCCACTCTTCTCCCTCGGGTGACGGTGACACCGGGCGAGGTGACGCTTACCGTGGAGGGTCTCGTAGGCTTGGATGACCTCGGCCATGAACATGGGCCGCTGGCGGGCGATGGTGGCCAGGGAGCCCAGCGCGGCCGTCAGGTTGATGCTGGAGATGGCCGGGTGCACCATGAACTTGAGGAGCTGCTCCAGGGCGGCCTTGCCCTCCTCCCACAGCACGTCTGCGGGGACACACGGGGGACGCTCAGTGTCCCCTCGTCCCCTCTGGTCCCGGAGGGGCCCCCCCGGCGCCCCGCGGCCTCACTGTATTTGATGTAGGGGTGGTCCTTGGGGATGCGCTCCAGGCTGATGTCGTTCTCGTGGCGCTTGGGGACGTCGGAGTCGGCCATGCGGGGCGAGAGGGTGATGATCAGCCCCTCCACGAACTTGATGGCGTGGGTGCGGATGCCGTCGTTGTCCGAGTCCAGGAGGAGGATGATGTCGCTGGCCATGGCCGTCATCATCTCCCAGCAGGCCTCCTGCAGCTCGCTGATCACCTTCGACTTCACCATCCACTGCGGGCAGGGAAGGGGTTAAACCACCCCACCCCC